AAAGTATTTGAATGTTACACTCTTCCGAAGGGTAAATTGAGGCCAATTAGAACTTCATTGGCAGAGCAGTAAATTCATGACAAACTTGCCTCACCACCAGAGAATCATCATTACCCAAACTCTAGGTGTTGTCTTAGAACACGTCTCACACCTGTGCCAGTCTAATCCTCCATTAACCTTTCTTTCTCTCCCCACTCCTTCAATTTATGTTTTCCATATAAAGCCCAAAGCAACCATAACCCATAATTCCTTGACAAATGCAGGTTACAAATCAAAATAGTGCTCAGAGAAAATTAGTGCCTTTTCTGGATATAGTCCTTCTGAAGGAGAGACACATACAGGGAAGTATCCTGAAAATAAAGTGCATAGGGATCACCAGAAAAAACTAACAAAAAAGGCCAACACTTTGAGCTAACCACAAATACAGATCAGCCAACTAACTTTCAATCAAAAGGCCACGACTACTGGATTTAATGAATGAGACTAATACCAGAGTCAAGATTTACAATCAAAGGAAATGTTCTGTATTTTTAATTGCATCTGTCATGGTACAAACATCAACAGAAGCAGCCACCACACAACAAAAATTTCACAAAGGAAATGTTGACTGGTTGAGTTAAGAGTTGCTTTTCTTTTCAAGAGATTGATTTTATTATTTAACAACATATGAATTGCTAATGATTCAGAGTCAATTAGCCCTGGGTGGCACACCTACAACTCACATGGTAGGATAAAAGTCTGAAACAGTCAGAACGCTTTAGCCCTGAGTCTCCAGAAGTGAAACTTTTGGAAGGAGCAAAACATTTGATGGACTAAAAAGCATCCATTAGATTTAAGACGCTCTACAGCAACCTCTTAATTAGTTGGGTCACAATTTCTCCACTTCTTCTCCCTACCTCTACCATCAAAAAATAGCTACTGCCATCCCACTTTTCTTTGCTCTGATGGTTATCACTTTAAAGACAATTTCAACCAGAAAATAAACTGGTACTAACTTTGAACTTCTGTCTTGAATGGTTCATGGGTGGCTGTCAAATTACCGTATACTCCAAATTCTGTCAAAGCTTTGAAATACAGCAATATCTCCGCTATAAATAAGCTTAGAATGCCACCAGAAGGTATTCTTTTATTATTATTATTATTCCACACGGTATCTAAAAACACTTACAGTGTTTTGATTTCAAAATCCTTGGAGAACAATTATGCTATTAGGGCCATAAGACTCTATTATAAAGTCCTCAAAAACATAGCATGGTTTCAATAAATCCTCAAACACTACAAAGCAGTTGCTCAGCTTGAAGAATGAAAACATGAGTTCATCCAATGAGAAAGAGTCAGGATATAAATTCTACTAACGCAGTCATCTGCATTTCCCCAGAGTACTTCTCTTTTTCCCCAGAATTATGGCAGTACCTTAAATCAAAGCTCAGCTACAATCTGAACACTGAATTGCCACAATATAAAAATACCAACTGAATTTTAATGTGTGGTTTTTAAAAAAAATCTAAACTGTGTATAGCAGTTCTGTAATAGCAATTAAATAAAAATGCATGTTTGATATATTTGCTAAATTGCTGATCAGCCCTTTTGCAAGTATGCTGTGGGAGTCCAGTGAATCATAGAATTGTAGAGTGGAAGGGGCCTTGAGGGTCATCTAGGCCAGCCCCCCGAAATTTCAACTAAAGCGTCCTTGACAGATGGCCATCCAACTTCTGCTTAAAAACCTCCAAGGAAGGAGAGTCCACCACCTTCTGAAAGAGTCTACTCCACAGTCCACTCCTACTCCCTTGGGCATAAGAGAAGACAAGCTTGCTCCATCTTCCACGTGATAGCCATTTAGATGTTTGAATACGGCTATCACATCTCCTCTCAATCTCCTCTAAACATACTCAAATCTCTTCCACCTTAGCCCCTATGCTCTTTAACATCTATATTAAGGCACTGGGGACTGTCATTCTGAGGATTGAGGGCACAATGTCACCAATATGCAGGTGCCACCAAGTTTCTCCTCTTTTCATACCATCTGAATCATGTGAAGGTGTGTAAGTTTTGGACCAGTGTCTGGAGCTAGTAGTGGGCTGGATGAAGGTTAACATACTGAAGCTGAATTCCAGCCAGATGCAGGCATTGTTGGTGGGTGTTTCTTATGCATGGGATCTGAGGTTGCACTTTCTCTTAAAGAACAGGTTCACTGCTTGTGGGTACTCCCTTATTGTACACTGTCACAGGAAAACCAGGTGGCGTCAGCAGTAAGGAACGCCGATAACTTAAATGCACTCTGTGTGGGGCCACCTCTGAAGTTGGTCTGAAAACTGCAGATATAATGAGGAACACAGCCTCCAGGAGTGGTGAGCATTGCTTTCAATTGGGATCCTGTAGCACCACCCCAGTGGATGCCAATATGCTAAAAGGCCTTAAGAACCACTGGGGAGACCTTCTTGCATTCCAGCTGCTAAGTATAGCACAAGGTCAGTGGCTTGGGGAAGTGGAACTCTTCTGAGGTACAACTAGCTCCCTCCTTATCGAATCTTAGGGAGGGTGTGAAGACACACCTTTTTCAATTGGGCCTAGGGCTTTCTGTGATTTTCAGACCAACTTCATAGGTGAAGCGCGTTCAAGTTATCAGCATTCCTCACCACTGATGCCACTTGGTTTTCTGTAACAATAAAACAATGTACAATCAGGGAGTACACATAATAAGGGAACCTGTTTTACAAAAATGTGTTATTTCATCATGCCTACATTGAAAGTGCTGATTTGCTGTGTTGTGTTATGGTTGAAATTGTGAGCCACCTTGAAAGGACATTGAAAGCAGCATAAATTTTAAATAAATATAAATAAACATATATTTTAAATAAAATATAATAATGAATTCACCGCTATATTTACAGTACCCTCAATGGCTCCCCTACCCAGATCTTTTTCTCAAGTTTTACAATTATTTTGGTTTTGCTATTGGACAAATCTTACCTGGTTCAAGTTCTAGTGGAAACTGCTCTCTTGTCAGGCAACTACAGAAAAATAATGCTACTGGGGGCGGTATGGGTTTGTTTTGCTTTCATTCTTGTTTCTATTATGTATTTTATGTTTTCGTCTCGTATGGCTGTGAACCTGAGATCTTTGGATGAAGAGCAGTATACAAATTTAATGAATAATGATAATAAGAACAGATCCAAATGCACCACATGTAAAAGACCTGTTTCAAAAATTAATTTAGTTAGTTCCATGAGGGAGGGAAGGAATTTCAGGTACCGGGCTATAACATCCTAATCATATGAAGCCTCCTTTGTAGAAAACCTCTTGGTATTCTTCTTCAGGGAATGTAGCCACCACATAAAACAAATTTCTCCTCATTTCGCGATAAGAAACTACCATCACCACATGGATCACTAAAAGATAACAAAAATGACGGAAGTATACCAGTGTCGGGAGGGGAAGCCAAGGGAAGAAGGAAAACTGTGGTGTCTGATACAAATTGAAAGAAGGGGAGGGGGAATCCAGCAGCCGGAGGAAGGAGGCCTCGAAAGTTTCTGCCAACAGCAGCTGAGATGCTTCATCAGAAGCCTATTTTTCCAGACATTATGTTTCATTTGGCTTCAAGGGTCACATGACAGCTGCAAACTAACGCCTTAAGGTCTGTTTCTCCCTCTCTGTGACACTGACAGGCTGTGAGAGACTCCAACACCACAGAAAGAATTTTTTCCCCTTGTTTCCATTACATCATCCAACCAGTACTGGGGGGGGGGAGAGGGAGGGGGTACACAGCTGGTGGCAGCTGCAATACCATCTGCTTTCCACTTACAGTGCATGCTAGTTTGCTCTGCAGATTCCTACTGATCCTTTCTGGGGAAGAGCCTGCGTTTCAAGACAAAACACCCCATTGTGCGAAACATATTTGCAATTGTGGAGGAATAAGTTGCTCTCTAATGCTCACAGAAAGATTCATCAGGTAAGGATTCCGCATCGCTTGGAAAGCCCAGCTGCACAAAAGACAGAAATCGCTAAACACTCAGTGATTAGGGGAGAATAAAGAGCACAGCAACAACCTGCCATCTGCTTTCCACAATGCGAGAAGCCAGAACTGGGGGGGGGGGGAACTCTGCAGTCAGCAATATTTTCTGAAAGGGAAGGGACTGAAGGAAAGGGAAAAGAAGCTTAAGTCTCCAAAGTCAAGAGATTAGCTGGAGCAACTCGGAAAGAACAAAAAGTAAAAACAACTTATCCCCTAGCTGGGATAAACATCAAATATATGTACGAAATACTGTCAGCACAACTGATAATCTATGGCAGCCCAACTTGGAAGAAAAGACTCTATGGTGCCTTAACTGAAACGATGGTGGAAGTTAGTGAACTTACAATAAACTGTATACAATAAAAGTGCTTTATCTACCCTTGAGCTCTTACAAATGCATTGCCAAATACAAGTTCAAGTTGGATTACATTTTTTAATGTGATGTATGTATTTTCAATACAAACAAGGACACCACTTTATGAATTAATATTTCATGTTTCTTTTAAACACACAAAACTATCTGAAGGTATTTAAAGCTTTTGATGAAACCTTCAAGATTAATATAAAGAAGCAATTTATCAGTTCTAAAAATCCTGTAATAGACACTTCCATAGAATTCTCAGCTCCACCAGGAAAAAGGAGAAAAAGCAAAATGATGCACACAAGTTTGATCTAATGCACATATTTATAGTTTCTTTACAGCTCTGAATGGGCTAAGATTTTGCCACGCTTTTACAACAGATCAAACTACCACAACAGGAGTTTCTTCTCCTTTTCAAAATTATTGGTCAGTGTGGTCATTCTCCCTTCTGTTACGTCCTGATATAAAGCAGCAACGAAATGCCTCTAATTTCATTAACTCGCTCAATAATGATGGCTAGCACTTGCTTATTTCTTAAGAAAGTGGCCCCTTTAATTTGTACACATGAACAACTTAACATAATATTTATTGAATTGTTTTCAAAATGGCTGGATCTGTATGACTTACCATACATTTTGCCTTCATCAGACAATATGATTTTCCTCCTCCCACAAGGGGGATATATAGCTAGTGCCTCCTGAAAGCTCTGCTCAATATCTGGGCTCCAGACACCTTCTGCATCATTGTCAATTGGTTTATCTGCAGAATCGCTCATTCTTTCAATGTCCTCGGCAGGGCTCTCGCTGCCGCTCCAGCTGCTGGGCTCAATGGTGATGGCTGGGTTCTCCAAGCCTTAGCCTGGAAGCTTTAAGAGAATAAATCTAAAAAGGGGGAAACAGCAAAGACAAGAGTTTTAGGTTAATTTTCCTTGACTAGTTTTAGTAACCAGTACAACAGAGCCACAAAATGTTATTACAGAATTTAAAGACCGAGAACTAATGGAAAATAAGCCCCAAGTTCCATTTCTCTGTGGAACCAGACTAAAATTGGCCAGTTTACCTTTCTCTGTATCTAACAAATAAATGGGTTAGAATATTTCATGGTGTATCTAATCTCACAGCAAGTGTAATATATTTATTACAAGACTGGAAGTTTGGAACAAATATGTTGGTTCCACTGACTTCATCCGAACAATAACTATAAGGGTTTCTAGAAGCTAAAGACTACATCTAAGGAAACTGTTCTATTTAAAAATGGCCATTATGCTATTTTAATTCACATCAGGCGTTCTGGCACAGATGGAAAATCAGCACACTTCCCTTACTTGACCTATATGAATGGCACAGTTCGTGCCCGAAGAAGAAAAGGTGGCCAAGAGTTTAAAAATAAATGACACCTAAAGGAAAGGGTAACCAGGCCAGATTTTACACCTGTTTCAGAAAAGTGTTGGATATAGAACAAAGTTTTTTTTGGTTTTTTAAAATCTCACTTCCAGATGTGGAATCAAGGTAATAAGAAATAATCTAATATGACAGCACCTGCTAACTCCATCCCACTCTCAGATAACATCAATGTTTCTTTTATATTTGTGGGAGATGTACTGCTGATATGAAGGTGTGCTCTAGGCAAAAGACTGTGATATCAGGCTGAGTTTTTCACAGTGGTAAGCCCACTAAGGATGGTGAAGAAAGCATCAGGAATTAATTTGCCTCAACCTGTCAAAGCATAGCTGAATATCATTAAGGACAAAATGTACACTAGTGGACAAAGACTGGGTTAAAAGAAAAACCAACCTCCCAAAAACATTTGCTTCAATTTAAGCTTCCTTAAAAAAAAAAATTAATCCAGATGTCAGTACTAAGAGGTTTCTTCTTTTTTTCAAAATAATAGGTAAATTAAGGAAAAATATGAGAGAATGAAAGTTCTGATTGAAGAAACTAATTTCTTTTAGAATCTTTGTATTCTATGAACTCAAGAGACCCATCAGGCATAAGGACTGTAAGCAAAAATCAGATATTGAAATATTTGTTTCCAGGATTGTACTTTCTCAGATGGATATTATACAAAGGAGGTGAGAACTTACTATATTAGTATGGAACAAGCTGTTAGGGTTCTTTGAGCCACTGCACAAGTCACAGAGATCACATGTACACCCCTGCAGAGATGAACTGTATACTTCTGGGCCACCACATGGAAATCCATTCTCATGAACTTTTAACAAATTCCACACAGAAATTCCACTTGTCTGTGAATACTGTTTAAAATTGTTTTCAGCTGTTTTTAATTTCTGTATGGGTTTTGTTGTTGCTTGTTTGTTTGTTTTTATTGAAGGAATTCTGAGGCCTAAGCCTTGTACTGTGCTAGCATAAGTATGAAGAAACTCTTTGGGAAAGCAAAATTTTGAAATTATATTACTTTTGCTACACATACTGGCAAACTTTCTAGGTTCAAATTTTTTTATGGAAAAAAGGGTATCTAAAATATTTACTTTTACTTGACCATCCCAATACAAATCCCAAGCGCGCGCACAGGGATACTGATATACCAAACACTGACGTGTGTACACACACAGGCATGCATGTGTATGTGCTGCACTCAGGTAAACTTGAGCAAACACCACACTCAAACATACATCTAGCTGGATGGCTTCACTGGTTATGGACAAGATCTGCTTTGAACTGGTAGCAGATTGCTGAAAGTTTTAAAAACTGATATAAATCTGTCAAATATCTCACTGTTCAAAATCAACATTTCCAGGGCAGCTAACATCTCCAGTCTCTGCCTTGTATTGCATTGGCCTTTTCCGCAGGCACAAGAGGTTGCAAGCAGAGACATGCCTACTTCAGAGCAGACAGATATACCTGCACCCCTTTCTTTACAGAGAATATGGTGCTCTCACTTCCACCTGCCACCATAGTAACGGTTAACTACAGTGGCTGTTATTTGTTGATAACGATCAGTGGTTGAGCAATTCCCAATTTTTTGCAAGGTCTTTGCATTTTTTACAATCCTCCCTTCAACATGAACAGGAGATGACTTTGCCATCTGCATCATCTCTGTTTTGTCTTCAGTACATTTGGGGAAATGAAAATCATTTTAATAATCTGGATTAATTCTTTGAAAATCCAATAAATTAAGGCAAAGCAGCTTCCAAAAGCCACAACGTTGCTTATACTTCTCAGCTTCTTTAGGTTCTTTTCCTACAGATCACTGTCAAATTTGGGGCATCATTCACAATCAGACTCATTCGTGAAGGAAAACAATTTTTTTGTTAAAAATAATAATCCTCAAGTACAAATATATTAGAATTCGTATGTGAGTTGGGTCATCAAAAATACATGGTGTGTCTAATTGTAAATATTGCTTATTTAACCTTTTTTAAAATAAATGCAGAGATGTAAGTCAAGCAATTTACACCTGGTTGCTTTATGTTCTCAGATTTCTCAGTGGAGAAAGCATTTGGTTCAGTTGATATACAGCTTCAATATACACAAATCAACATGTTTTATTGTCTGACCTTATCACTAAATGATGCATTCAATATCCAACACAGAAGCCTATTTCTACAAATGCACTCTCATTAATAACACTCTGCACACATGCAAAACCTGTTTGCAAATAACCACGGCAAACAAGAATGGCCAGCCTTTGAACAAATTGAGAAAATCAGTATGTAATTATCCAACTGAGCCCAATTAGTGATATAAAATTATTTAGCATCTGTATCTGAGAAAGAAAATACAAGAATGCATTATAAAAAAGTAGCGCTGAATCTTTTATTTAAAAAACCAATTTAGTACATATGGAGCAATTTATCATTTACATTTCAAGTCTGTGATTTTGTTCAGATTCCTCAGGCAGTTCAACCCAATGACTTTTGAAATATGCAAGGTAGCAACCCATGTCAGGAAGACCCCAATGGATGGAGCCTACTGCAGCAGATGCAATTTTCCTCCCTGTCAACTGGATAAAGAAAGTCAGGTTGTGAGCAAGTGATTCTACAACAACAGAATCACCCTAGTATATGGTTTTACCATGAACGAAATCTCAATAAATACAGGTAGCTTGTGGTTGCCTTTTGAGAACTTGCGATTGCAGTAGAGTTGCACTATGTATCTGTTTAAAAAGGGTGCCTAGTAAAAACATAGTTTCGTTCCAAAAAAAAGCAAAAACAAAAAGAACTCCACACCATTTACTTCCTTTTTGCAGAGTTAGAAAAGGAGAAGTAAAAAATAATGAATCTAATTAACCGAGAAGATTTCCTCTTTCTGTCTTAATCCCTACTACTTGCTGAAAGAATGATGCCGCTGGAAAAACCACAAATCTAAGCAATGGAGTAGTATAGTGATAAAGAGCATGAGCAAATTTGTATACCCTTAGTTCAAATTTCACTCGAGTCCCCCAGGTGTAATTTGGGCAGTCTGCCTCTGGATACTGGTGGCTGGAGCACAAGAGTGCTCTCAAGTTCATACCCTACTTGTAGACATCTATCTGGCCACTGTGAGAACAGAATGCAGGATTAGACAGACCTTTGATCTGATCCAGCAGAGCCACTCTTGCGTTGTATTCTTAGCATTCCCCAATGCTAAAGTGAAGTCTTGTTCCCACAGTTTAGCTGACCACTTCTAAGTTTGATCCTAGCCAACTCTATTAAATCATGTCCAATACCAACACAGCACTTTCTTTGGCTATTTCTTCTTTAGCAAAGTTAAGGCGTGAAAATAAAGGATCCAACAATAAATTCTACTCGGAAATTTCCTTTTATAGTGTTCTCAACCATCTTCCCATAGTCTTTGGCTTGAGTGAATGTCCACCCTGTCCAAAAAAATAAAAAGTCTCCTTTACTACTCCATAGACTCATAGAACTGTAGAGTTGGAAGGGACCATGAGGGTCATTCTAGTCTAACGCCCTGCCAGGGGTGCCATCTATCCCTTAGGACTGTGGGTGCCTGCCAACGCAATTCCGATGTGTGACATCACACGCACACGCCTGTTGCGGTGGCCAGCGGCTGCTCCTCTTCTTCCTCCTCTCCATAGCCAGTGAGGCACTGTTTTCTGGAGAAGTTGGAGGCGGAGGCAGAGTCTGTCTGCCTCCATTTCTGAGCTCCTCCCTGAGGAAAAAGGTGCCTCGCTAGCTAGCTGCTTCTCTGTCAGAGGCAGCACAGCTGCCACCTGCTGGCTTTTCTCATTGACTTTGTGGGTGCCCTACAATAATATTATTGTGGGTGCTGGAGTTGGCTCCTATGCCCCCTGCAATGCAGGAATCTTTTGCCCAATGTGGGGCTTGAACCCACAGCCCCGGAGATTAAGAGCCTCATGCTCTACCAATTGTGCTAACACAATCTGATCTTATTTTTTAAAGCCATAACTTTTATAATTGCATATGATTTCACACAATTACTTTTTAATTCATCACCTTATTCATTAAAATAATCTGAAACAGCAAGGACCATGATTACCAGAAGTAACTGTGGCTTAATGTCAGGTTATTAATTAAAATAATATGAAATTAAAAAGAGCTCTGATTTCTAGATGTTGCCCTGGCATTTGAACTAGTGCCACTGCAAAGCTAACCTGTTCCTTACAGGCACACTCAGCCTCCCCACCACGGTGCAACCTAAGGCCTCAGGTTTTTTAGTCCTGTTTGCCTAATTCCAGCATATCTGGCTCACTGCCCACTTACTTGCTTTTAAATGGGGGAGTTCTGCATTTAAGACGTATTTTCTACTTGACTGTAAAAACTCGGGCAAATTGCAAGTCACAACACAAGCAAAAGTACAGCATAACTCTTCTGCTGGAATAGTTGTGTGCTAAGTTTTGCAAAGAAAACAAGTCTTTCAAAAAGTATCCCGTCACATGATCATTTCATGTGCAGCATAAT